CAACATAAAATGAAACTAATGACTAAATTCATACTAATAGCGTCAACGGTTTCGGCTAGGCGATGATGAATCATCCAGGACAAGTCATATTATACATAGAGATTTCCATAATAAAAAATATATATATACGTATTGTAATTTTTTCGAAAATGAATTCAACGCGTTACTGTAGAGGGGTCATAATGGTGAGTAGACGACAGTACCTTACGTACTATTATATTGTACAGTAGAAGGTGCGTCTTCGATGACCGTCGGTTAGGTTAGATAATTCATCGACTTTAGTTTTTTTCACGCGTTAATTTTAATTTTAATAGATATGATGCTGACATCAGATTTGTGATTTAGCCACCCTCCTCCCATGTAAAGTACCGTAAAGTACCCCTATGGTCGGCCGAGTGTAATACTTACCGCTAGAATTCGGTAAATCGTTGATAAATACGAGTAGTAGTCGAAGCCATAGCAGTGCAACCTGAAGAAACGTTATTACGTATATGATGACATTTAAAAGGAGGGGAAGAGAATAATTAGATTTTAACAACTGTGAGGCAAAATCTTCGGCACAATTTACCGAGGTCGACTTTTGCGTACACAGTTGTCCTGTTTGCCTAGGTGATTATTGTTATAAATGAATATCGAAATTTTCTCCGTTGCCCTGTACGAGCGCGTGTGGTACTAATAAGACACGGGCGGCACGGTTGGAGGTGAAAATGGCAAAAGGAAAAAGGCATACCGGAGAACCGTCGGTCGGCCCAGGAACGTGGTGCGTCTCCTTGCGCATGGGCCGGTCCGGATAATGAAACATTTTTTTCATCACTCAAAATAATAAAATCTTAAATTTTCAATGGATAACGAATGATTACGTGATATAATGGTTATAGCAGAAGAAAGAGGAGATGATAACAAAATAGACTTAGACGAAGCAGTAAATAAATTTTCTAAACTAAAAAGTAAAAATTATAATTTAGAGTATCATAATTAATTAAAAATCAATGTGCTCCGTGTGCAATATTGTATTATAATAATATATTAATAAATAAAATATATTTTAACTGAGAATAAATTGCATTGGTTAAATGTAGATAAATAATAAATATTTTTATATCAATAATCAAAGGGGAAAAACTTGACTAATAATTTGAATTCATTAAAATAGTGTATATGTCGCATCCATTTAAAGAAATTATTCATTTCAAGAAAAGTTATCCAGTTCATGAAATGGACACTACATTTTCACGGAATTTTTTTCATCAATTGGCCAGCCACTTTATGAAATAAAAATATAATTATTATTTTTCATCTGAAAATTACTTTATTTGACTTTTCAATAATATTAAAATGGTAAATTGTGTAACTTACCTATTTAATATAATTCTAATAAAATTATTATCTGATTTATGACCGAATTTCGATCTGCAATTGATCTTGTTAATATATATCTTTAATACGTATAATCTTTGTGTATAGCGGTGTAATGGTTGGACTTTGGAAAGTGAATCAGTACGTACAATCTTATGCGTGAATGTTCACTATCATTTTGAAATGGAATTCGATCCGAAAGTTTGATTTTAGAAAAAACTGAACGTTTATTATAAAAAAAAACCTGTGATGAAATTCAATGAATCATTGAAGAAATCACAGGAGTTAAATCTAATACGAAAGAGATACATATTTAATCAGGAAAATGATATAGTATATACAGTGTGTAATCACTAACTGAGAACACTTAATATCTTTGCGTAGAGTCCTGCAATTTGAATTCTGATTTTTCGTTGGTTTTTATGACATAAAAATGTGTATTTTTATGAGTTTTTAATTTTTTTAACTTAAATAGATATGCAAATGCACTGTACAATTTTTTTTTAGGCAACTACCTATTTTAACCACTAATTATTTTTGCCTATTTTTTAATGAATTTTGGTAGTCAAACCAACTTTCAAAGTCCAAAATTGACTAAGTTACAGCAATTTAACTTAAGAACTGCAAAATGTGCACGATTTTCAATTTTTTTGACTGTAACTCTGAAAATAATTATTCTAGTATTGCTTAGGCTTGATATTTTCACTCCTATTTATTAAAGTGATATATACACATTATTATAATTTTATTTACTGTATAATTTTCACTTTAATTTAGGTATGTAGGGGAGAATGGGACAAGTTGGTTATGTTAAGGTTCAAATATTTATTTTTCTGTAACTGTTTAATTTGGAGGTCTGAAATTTTGTATAGACGTTGTTTAATGTCTTTAGAATAATACTCAAAAATATTATGACTTAATATTCAATGGGTTAGAATTTAATTGAGTTCTATTCTATTTTTTAAATTTCGTCATCTTTCCCCGTGACTGGGGTAAGTTGACTTTGTATTGGGGCAACTTGACTATATTTGTTTAAATTAATTTTCGTTACTTAAAAAAAGGTTTAATCTTCAACAGGCAACATAATATAACACAACAAATTAGTAGATGTATTGTATAACTTGTTTTTAATAATTTTAGAACTTTTAATAAAAAAAAACTTCTTTGTGTTAAACAAATAACATCTAATTTGTAAGTAGATAGATATGTTGGTAAAATGTGTCTTTAATAAAATCAAAATCACTTTCAAAACACTTTTATTAATCAATTAAATAAAAAACAACTTATACCTAACCATCAAATGAGTAATAATTACTTATAATTACATTTAATACGAAAATATTAACAGCTCATAGTATAAAGGTTAGAGGCAAGTGAACGAACTCGTCAACTTACCTCAAATGAAAATTATACAAAACAGATATTATTTTTGTATTAAAAATTCAACAGATTTGTAATCGTACAGCAACTAATAGAAAGGTTAGAATGTGCACTAAATTTATGTATTGAATGAACTTAAAAAATGTTTTTTTTTTTTTTTCATAAAACCTTATTTTCGAACACCCATTTATGATAACATTACCTCCAAAAACAGTAAAATTATAACAAACCACGCGCGTCTTATCAGATAAATTTGTTAATCAAAATATTAAATAATCACTTCTACAAACATATTCTTTCTGTGATAATACACTATCAGATTAAATTTTATCATTTTAAATTCGAATTTGTCAACTTACCCTACTCTCCCCTAATATAACTTATAGTAGAAAAAACGTAAATAAGCAGACATATTGTTTATTTCGTGACATTCAATGGATCTTATGGAATTTTTCAATTATTAACAACAAATTTAATTCCTATTTGAGTTATAAGTTTATTTAGTTATTGATTAATTTAACGTATAAATTGTTCAAATTGCTGTCCTCCGTGAACAAAATATGATTTAGCGCAATGCACGAATTCTTTATTTGTTGCAGCAGTAATTTTTTCATCAGTCAATTGATTGCATGATTCTGTTATTTTGTCGTTTAAATGTTGAAAATTTATTGGAGGATCAGCATACACTAATGTTTTTAAGTAACCCCATAAAAAAAAATCTAGTGGCGTAAGATCAGGTGATTGTGGTGGCAATTCAATGGTGGTCTGTAAGTTCCTATCCATCGACTTTGAAACATATTAATATTCTAGATCGCTGATAGCTATATTGTGATAAATATATTAATAAATTAAAATTATTTACATTAATTTCTAATTTCTTTATTAAATACAAAAAAAATAATAATTTCAAAATAATTCTAAAAGTTCAATAATTCACAAGTGAGCAAATTTCCAACCACAAAATTTTGGTGCCCCCAAAAAATTTGCGCCCAGGGCAGTTGTAACCAGTGCCCCCCTTAAATTCGGCCCTGCTGGGGGTAATATATTATTCCTAATAATAATATTTTTCATTTAATTATAAGAATAGAAAAATTATTGATAAAATGAAAAAATATTTCAATAATGAGAATGAAACACTATTAACAATGTCTAATATTCTCTTTATATAATATTAATTAGTGCTTGCCATTACATGGGTACATGTGTTCTTATCTGAAACGGGATTAAGGTCCATGTAAATAAAATACACGTGTATTTGTAAATACTCATTCACCCGCATTACCCGTGTAGCTAACCCGACATTACTCGTGTATTTTATTCTCTATGTTTTTGTATTGTAATAATTGAGATTTTTACAGATATCGATGATGATCGAGATTATCTACGTGTTTATCACCAAACAATATTCACAGTTGCTGAAAAACTCATAGCCCGGGAAAATTGCGGACCCGACTCGGACAAAATATCATTTAGGGATGCAATTCGTATGTGCCGAAGCGATGGCATATATAGAAAACATTTTATATAAATTATAATAGAATAAGTCAAAATATTAAGTAATTATAAGTAGGTATAATAAAGTATTCAAGTTAAAATCATTTTTATAAGAATGAAATATCCACTTAGGTTTAAAAAAATTTCCAATTTCTGTGAAAACCAAACAAGATTCATACCAATATTTGAATAATTATATAATATACCTTTAATTACCCTAAATTAATAACTAAACGGGTGTCTGATAATTTACTTATCAGGTAATACATACAAGTTGGTATTAAGTACACGGGTAACGGGTATTAAATACACGTATATCAGTAAAACATACTCGTGTATTAAAAACACGGATATTAATAGATTTAATACACGTGTACTCTAATAACCGTGTATGACTACGACCCCTAATATTAATGCATATCTTATATTGTAGTTAGTATCTTTTTTTAGTATTGTTTTGACGACCAGTTGAATGAAAAAAACATTAGAAAATTGGATAAGGATTTTACGTCAATAAGAAATCAAAATGGCATTAGATTTGAAGAGATTAAAACTAAAATTCAGAAATAGACAAAATTGTATAAGAACATTTTGTCAAATGTTAAGTTATTTTATACTATATTAAATATACTTATTTTAGATCAAACAATCATTTAAACTATATTTAGGTAGACAATATTTAATTATATTATTGTATTAAATAATGTTTTTCAATTCCACAAAATTATAATATTGAATAGTTTCATTTAAAATATAAGCATTTTTTGGGCAGATACCTTAAATTATTTATATGAATGTTTAAAAAAAAAAAAAAATAGAGATAATAAGTATAATATTGTTATTTCCAATTTTAAGCTTATTTCTTGCTATTCTTGTCTTTATCATTTTTTTGATCTTTATCCTTAGAATCCTTACTGACAAGACCGACAGCTTGACGTACAGCATCGCTTTGCGGGTCAACCCCAGGTAAATTTTCCAACACACTTTGAATAAATTCAGGATCATTCATCACTTCTGAGTAGTCGACATCCATAGCTTCCTCTTTGGAATTCGGACCAGATGAAGATGCTTTTTCTTCAACTGCTGAATCTTGCATAGACATTTGCATTGCAAACGCTATCTGCTCTTCTTCTGTCATATTATTGAAGTCCACTTCAGATGCAGTAACAGCAGCAGCTGTAACAGCAGTAGATCCAGAAGTCGAGCCTGATTTCTCTTGTACAATCATTGGCTCATCTTCACCAGTTTCCATAGACATAGCCAAAGCACGTTCCAACATTGCTTCATCAGATGAAGCTATAATCATTTAAATATAAATTTAGTTCAATATTATTTAAGGTTAATTGCAGTATAATTTATAGAAGACAATAAAGATATTATTATAATAAATCTGTATATGATTTACCAATAAATGGCCTTAAAATTAGATAAATTATTATTTGAAAAAACGTATCTACTCAGTAGCAACTAACCCTCAGAGTATTATTAACTTTTAAGAGGACATCACAACTGCAAGTGTTGTCTCCATCTGACATACAAACAACATAACAAATTTGCGTTGAGTGATTCAAATGTAGTGAAGTTAGCTTTAATATTAGAGTAAACTGACCTATAATCAAACTTCTAGGGAAGAATATTATCTGTGTATTGTTGGTCGGTTTTTCTGATATTTTAATTTTTTAGCGAGTTATGATGTTTTTTTAAGTGTTATATTTAACATACTCATAACACGCTTAAAAATTAAAATATCAGAAAAAACTTGTGATAACTTAATATTTTCCTTTGAAGTTTGATTATAAGTCAGATTACTCTAATATTAAAGCCAACATCACTACATTTAAATCACTCAACACAAAATTGCTGTGTTGTACTTATGTCAGACGCGGGTCCTCTTAAATTCTTTTAAATACATTATATAATATGTATATTGGTAATAAAGCTAACAATTATATTTATTAGCTATTATAAAAAAAGAAATATTGAAATTAAATAGATTATGAGACATAAAAAAAAAAGTATGTATATATTATTCACATTTTAATATTTTGCTTGATTAAATATTTTAGATTATAATATTAAATTAAACCAGAAAAAAATATTTTATTGGTAGTTTTAAAAAAGCACAGACATCAAAAAATTTAATTTAGTTTAAACATTTCAGCTAGCATTATCATATCTGTTAGAAACAATAAATTTAAAATAAAAAATTAATTTTTTTAGAAATGTTAACGCACAAAATAACTAGAAAAAAATATTATAAGGAAGAAAATATGAATTAAAGACTTAAGGGGTATTAAATAAATGATTAAATAATAATTTCAATATTTAATTAAATAGTTAGATTCTTTTTTATTATTCATATATGTGTGAAAATCCTTAAATACTTTAAAAATAAAAATGAAGCTAATTTTCTTACTCTCATTAATAGTTTCTGGACGAGAAGTTGAAGCATCAGTACCAGAAGAAGCTTGACCTCGACGAGCCTCTTGCTCTTGTCTAGCTCTTTGTTCTTCCATTGAAACACGTAAGGCCTTAAACAAAAAAGATATAATACATTTTATTTTTTCAATTGAAAATATTAAAAATATTTACCAAAGCTAATTCAGGATCTTCATTAGGATCAACTCCAAATTCATATCCAGATCCACCAAGACCAGCTCCACCAGCACCATCCTCTCCCTGAATAACTGGGGATGATACTAATGCCTCAGAGAAATGTGAACCAGGTGGTACAGCAATAAGATGACTACCACCACCATCTTTGCCATTTAATGTATTAACGAAGGCAGTTAATACATCAGAATTTTCTGCCTAAAATATTAAATAAATATTAATTAATAATTAAATTTATCATTTATTTGAACTAAATAATTTTTACCTCTTCGCCAAAAGAAACAACATCTACATTAACCTTTTCTTTCTTAAGTCTTTTAGCTAACTTAATAATTTCTTTTTCATCCAAACCTACAGGGCTGCCAATAAATGCTACAATACGCATTTTATGGTTTTTTCCTTGACGATGTTTCAATGCCAACTGTAAAATTTTTAAAATTTTTTTAGTAAAATAATTATTTTTAATAACAGTTTTAATTGTTAACTATTTCAAAATATACATTACATGTGCAATTCTAATGCCTGTAGAAAAATTTATGTTTCCGTTGGGCTGCACTTGATGTAATTTAGAAAGAATACGACCAACATCAGCTGTCAAAGTAGCTAATACACGAGCACTGAATAAAAATAAAACCAAAAATATTAAACAAGTATAAATAAATATAACTTAGAGTGTAACAGGTAATAATAATAATATCATACTTAGCCAAAGTTAATAGACCAACATTATTCTCTGGATTTGAACGAGTCTTAGAAAGACACACCAAGTTAACAGCATCCTGTTGAGCTTGTAGACGAGTAGGCACAAAGTCACCATTACGCATATAATCACTGTTATCAACACTATAAAATTACAAATATTATAAAAAATAATATAAAAAAATAAATAAATCATATTGGAAATAAGTTTATAAATAGATTATCTATTCAAAATTATTGTAATTATTTATTGCTAAATTGTTATTATGTGACTGTATTATGTCTGTCTGTCAATTTTATCATAAAATTAAATGTAAAAAAAGTACCTTTTTAAAAGTAGTCCAAATGTATATATATATAATATTTATGTTCAGTATTTCTTTTTCATATTATAAACTATGTACAATGAATAGGTACAATTATAATTTTAAATTCACTTAACGAAAATAATTAATATGAATGAAAAATAATAATATTTTAATCTTATTTAAATAAAAAAAAAACATTATAAATTCTAAAAATAATTATTTCAATTGCAATAAACTGCATTAACATTATATTCACAAAATCAATTATAAAATTCAATATTGAGTATTCTCCAAGTGTAATAGATGAAAAATAATTTGAAAGGATATAACTTGATTGTTTTTTTAGTTTGTACAATTAAGTACAATTCAATCAAAATAATTAATTAAGAAAACATTTGAATATTGTGTTTATTGATAATATAATTTTTCAATAAGTGAGATAAAACCACACAAATTAATTAAAACGATAATTAAAAGAAAAATTAATTTGTTCATATGTTGAACATTTGTTTAACTACGACAATAGATTGATGGACAACCAAGATACAAATGGGTATTTAGTTTCATTTCAACGTTACTTGCACCGCAAACACAGAAGCACAAACATAAAACAATTTTCTCCAAAACAAATACCATAAGCAGGGGTGTATTGGTACGTATACACGGGTATACACCATATACCCATCTACAGATTTTCGATTTTTGGTGTATACCTAATGTAAAATATTATTTTTCGAGAATATGCTCCTAAAATAACTCCTAAACCAAATAAAACTTATTTGTACTTATTTTCCACTAGTTCATTGGAAAAGATTGTTATGAACTATGAAGTTTGAATTAAATATTTATATGTTGAAGATTACAATGTACAGTTTACAGTTTAATGTATTTTAAGTTCAAGTTAGTAAATAATATTTCGAAAATTAAATGTTATTCATTTTAATATAGAGTATGAACTTACAGCTCATGATTCATAAATCTCTACCGAACAATTTATAACGCGACAAATGTATATCTTATGATATTGTATTTTATAGTCATATTAGAAGTTATTAACATGTAAGGGGTTAATTTAATTTATTCGAGTTTAGAGAGAAAAAAAATTATCGAACGGAGCACGAACATTTTTTTAGTATAAATATACATAATTTATTAGTGAGTATACCCATAAATATGTTTACCAATACACCACAGACCATAAGATATACTCACCATATCATTGTACTTTCAAGAACCATGTTGATAAATTTCGTAGGTAAGTATTGAATTCGAGTAAAATTAAAATGTAAAAACTCTAAAGTACGATCCCAACAAATTTTCGAGTTCTAAGCAAATTGCTAACTCATCGAGGCATTGTTATCAACCGATAAGAACAAAGTAATAGTGATAATATACGGACAGTGTAGCCAACAAGCTAAACAACCGTCGCTTTTTCACTTGCCTCAACCATGTTCCTATAACGTGATCAGTCGGACATTGTTGTACGACGTACAATTATTATAAAAAAAAAATCAATATACATAGGTATATTATGAATATGTAGATGATTTCTACATGAAACATTTATCCATCGCTATCGAATAAGAAGTAAAAATAGAAAATGGGTTCTAGTGGGTACATTAGAGCAGTGGTATTCAATCGATGGGTCACGACCCAATTTTGGGTCACGTAAGCTTTAAGATTGGGTAGCCATAAATCTTCTGTTTAAAATTTAAAAAATTAATATTCATATACAGTAAAACCTGTTTAAGACGCTCTCCCTAAAGACGATTTCCCGGCTAATACGCTCATTTTTAAGAGTCCCTTGATTTTGACAACATTTAACATGTAATTAACTCTGGATAATAAGCTCGTCTTGTCAATAATATTCATATAAAAATATGAGGTATATACATATGCATTGCAGATGCGTAGGTATAGATTATTAATGGGGGGGGGGGTTAACTTGAAATTATTGTAGTAGGTAATAGAAAAAAAACATATATGGGTACATTAAAAAAATTCTTTTTATATTATTATAGTTATTCAAAAAAATTAAATGTTATACAAGTAAATTTAATCTCTGTCTGCGCTGTGCTAGTTTGTTTATGATTTCTAATAGATCAACAATAACATCTCTATATACAAAGGCGCCCATAGCAAAATTCTCAAAGGGGGAGGGGGGTCAACATTTTAAGTTATCAATCTATTCATAAATAGGAATGATCCACGGTATAGGAAAAGCCTTATACATTTACATTATACTATTACATTATATATATCAAACTGGAAAACTATAAAATAATAATTATTTAACCAATTTACTTTAAAAGTAATTTATTAACATTTTTATTTAATTAATAATATAAATTGGACACTTAAAACATTAGTTATATTTATTCAAATATTAATTTATAAATATTATATAAATATTATGGTGGTGTACATACATACACATACATACCGTATTTCTGGAAATACACAATATTTTAAGAATTGATAATTATTCATAAAATAGAAACAAAAGAGCGTACTGTTATTTATAGCTGATAACCTGATTTTCCTAACTAAATAAATAGATTTTTCATAAACAAATTATAGGTTTGCATATATAATATATATTAAATTAAATTTTTAAATTCTATTTAAATAAATATATTTTTATCATAGTAAACAATTTTCCAAGATTTTGACATTTTCCAGGGGGGGTACATGTCCCTTCTTTGCGCCCCTCTATATGGGGGCCCTTGTCTATATATATTTAGAAGAACTAGTCCAGTTAGTCGCTCTTGACCAATAGTATTTCCTAAATACGTCTTTAAGCGTTTTAATGTTGAAAAAGAACGTTCTGCACTGGCCGTAGAAACAGGAAGAGTTGCCAAAATTTTAAGAATAGTATAAATGAGAGAATAAAATTGTTTATCACATTTTTCCAATGTTTTAATTGCTTTTAATTCATTTAGATCATCACTTCTTCCTTCCCAGTTCTTGGTCCATAGTTGATACTCACACAAAAGTTTTTCATTCGGCAGATATATCTTATGAATTTCTATCAATTTGTTTTTAGCATCATTTTTATTTTTAATAAATTTTGGTAGTAAGATTTGGAGGTTATCAATCTTTTCATGATGGTTAGAAAATCTGGCAGCTAGTTCACTTATCACATGATCAATAAATGGATAGTAAACATTTCTTTTATAATATGTTTCGGTTGTTTCGACAGGAGTATTGCTTCGTCCTTTTTGTCGGTTTGTGGTTCTAAGTGCTGTAAGCGATTCAATACCTAATATTTTTTTAGAATCAGTCACAATTTTTAAAAATTCCTCATCATTTCGTGTAGCTTCGAGTGTTTTTTTTATGGCTTCTACATATATACATGTTTCAACTAAGTCAATATTTTGAGTTTGAAGAATTTTATTAAGGTTTGCTATATAGGAGAAAACTTTTCGTAAAATGAGCAGTGTTACTACAAACTGTGAGTTTTCTATTGCTTATTGTTATTGATAAGCTTGTGATGCACATTCTCTTCGGCTGTCTTGTAGTGCTTGCAGTGCTTCTGTTATTACAAAAAACATTTCAGCAAATCGTTCTACTGCCAAATGTTTTTCAGTCCAACGGGTTTCGCAAAGAGAAACAAGATTCGATTGAGTAGATCCTACTGACTCTGCTATATCTTTAAGAAATCTATCATGAAACGAGGATTGCCTAAAAAAATTTATTAGTTTTAATTGTACCAATACAGTTTCGGATCATCAGAATTTCACATAAATGTGTGACAAAACCAAATTTAAAGTATGGGCTGCGCAATAAATGAACTGAGCTTTAGGATATTTTTCTGAGATAATTGTACGTACTCCTCGAAATTGACCACTCATCACAGCAGCACCATCATATCCTTGGCCTACTAGCATCTCCAAATTTAATCCAAGAGTCATTATACATTGTATGATGGTGGTGGCCAACGCTGAAGCTGTTACATATTTTACATGCACAAACTCTAAGAGATCTTCTCTGATGAATATATTGTCTGCAGAAAAATCGTCTACATACCGAATGCATATAGCTAATTGCTCATGCCTCGATATATCTTGCGTTTCGTTTTGTTAAAACCAATTACACGGTAAGTTAATTATCTTTTAAATTAAAACATCTACAATCTCAGGCACAGAAACTAGCATACTATTATGATAGATAATATCAAATCAAATATAAATACAGTTTTGAATTTTGATCCAGTGGTGATTTATTCTGAGCCTAAGGGTTTACTTGGTGTGATGTCTTACTTTACAAAAAAAAAAATAATAATAATAATTCTAGTAAGCATTAAAATATTTTAATTTAGAAAAATGTCATATGAATCTTATAAATTCTAATGTTTATTAAATTTTAAAATAAATAAATGATATTATAAAATAAGGACGGCTTTATAAAAAATAAAATAAAATTTAGAAATTAAATAAGAGTGTAAACAATTTTATCACCATCCCACTCAAAATGTTTTCACACGTCTATATGTGTTATAAGTAGAGGTTGGATTTTCATGATTTTACATATTTGTTTCTAGTCTATGCAGTTAAATGGAAGTGAGAAATCTTTACGGTTCATGAAACACAGAAGTCACAAGAAAAAATTTACTTTGTATAAAAAAACATATTTTAGGGGTTAGAGAATATTTGAGAATATTTTTGTAATATCGGCATATAATGAACATATTTCACGTATATCAGCATTTTGATAAACACAATGTTCACTATATAAATGATTTATTTCTGGGTTTCTGAGTTTCTATAAAAATTAATCTCCAGGTATTCCTTATCGATTACGATAGGACATCGGTTATTTCGTTAGCTGTCACGACTATTCGTCTTCTACTAGTTGTCCATCTCGTCTCGTCTCGTGTCGATATCTGAGTGCGATATATTATTGTTTACATACTGTTTTTCCACTCGTCTCAAATTACTATAACATACAAATACTCGTATGCCAAAAACTTCAAACAATATAAAAAGTTTATTTGCTCAATTGATTTCATCGTACAATAACCAACAAACGATTTTCACGACAGATGGTGCAACCATTTTTTCTCAAGTTTGTAACAGAAATATTCCTTGCACCAAAAAATCACAGGTAACACAACATGTACATACGGCTGTTCACAAGAATGGTTTAAAACGTAAATTAAATACTTCATCAAAGCAATTATTTTTATCAGAAGCTATTCCCAATAAAAACAACGTAAATGATTTTAACAAAAATTTGTGTCTAGCCTTAGTAGCAGCTAGTATTCCTTGATATAAAATGTAAGTTTCTCAATTTCATACATTTTTAAAGAAATACATTGGCAAACATATACCAGATGAAAGTGCGTTACGTAAAAATTATCTCGAGCCATACTACCATAATACTTTAACGAAAATTAATAAAAATTTGTGAAAATAATATTTGGATTTTTATAAATGAAACTACAGATACAAACGGTCGTTATGTTGCAATTTTACTGGTAGGAATAATAAATCAAATAATCCGAATCACCCATTCCTCCTGACATGGAAAATTGGACATTGGAAAAAACTAATAATTCCACTGTTGCTCAGTTTATCAATGATGGACTAAAATTATTATAGCCATTGGGTGGAAATGACGAAAAAGTGTTGTTAATGTTATCGGATGCAGCTCCATACATGACAAAAACCGGTGATACACTAAAAGTTTTCTACCCAAATTTAATTCACGTTACGTGTGTAGCTCACATGATGAACAAGGTTGCAGAGAAGGTCAGAGAAATGTTTTCAAATGTTAACAAATTAATCAGTAATTTAAAAAAAGTATTTTTAAAAGCGCCATATCATGTCCAGGTGCACAAAGAAATATTGCCTAATGTGCCAATATCCCCAGAATCCGTATTAATTAGGTGGGGAACTTGGCTGGAAGCCGTTGTATTTAATTGCAATAATTTTGAGGGTTTGAAAAATGTTATAGACAAATTAAGTGAAGAAAAGTCGTCATTCAGTATTGAAAAATACAAAAATATGTTACACCTAAACTGTAGGGTCCTATAGTCTGTAAAAAATGATTCAATTTTTATTAAAATTAATTTTCTTCAAATTGTTACAACTATCAAAAGTTTGGAAAAATCAAATACTCCCTTAGTTGATATGATAAATATTATCGAAAACACTTTTACACAACTTGAGCAGATATCAGGAGAAAAAGGAGAAGTAATAAAAACAAAAATATTGCAACTTCAACAAAAAAACAAAGGATACAAATTTTTGAAAAATGTAGGATAATTTCTTAGTGGAAATAACAAAGTACAACTTCCGGAAAATTATTCACCGACTATGGTAGCCAACTTGCAATATTCTCCAGTGGCATCGGTTGATGTCGAACGATCCTTCAGCATCTACAAACCGACGTACTAAAATGACATCGGAACACATTGAACACTATATAGTAATTAATTGTTATTGTAAAATTAATTAAATTAAATATATTTAAAACCAAATAAGAGAATATATTGCCTATTTTATGTGACATATATGACATATATTTCTATAGAAACATCATATTTTAAGGATTTTAAGAGAATATAAATCCGACCTCTAGTTATAAGTATACTAATGTAATGAGTATCTGAAATGATTGAGAAATTTGCATTGTATCGTATCTTCAACGTATATAAATATATAAATGAATATTAATCTTATAAACAGAATCGAAATAATTTCTTCTTATTATATAAAAATAATTGAAGAAAATATACGAGAGTTAAGAAAAACATATGGAAATTGGAACTAATAAATCACAATATTAATTGAAAAATAAAAGTTATCTATATTTAATCATGTATACACTATAATTTATTAAATGTACCTACACACCTTTTTTTAAGACCCAGCTTAAAAGTATTGTACGCACCTTCTAAAATATAAATCAGCGCACGCCTATGGATTTATGTATCTCATTAATTTTAGAAATAATTATGGTCATACAAAATTAAGAGTCATTTATACAACGTTTTGACTGTAACGGGTTAATTTAATAATGATTACCTAATGTATTAGAGCAGATGCTAGATCTTAATCCATTAAAATACTTCCAGTACTTTTTAAATCAAATTAATTATATACTATATATCACAGCCCATAATCCAAACAATTTGTTTCATTAATGATCATATTGTGTATATTTTATCTTATGATTTTTATATTTTTTTATCAATATTATTTTATATTGACTAGTTTAAAGCGAAACTCTTGTATTTACTATCAGCAGAGTTAGTAACAAACAGTCTCCCTAATTACTCGTTTTATTAAAATAATTCATAATCACCCATGACTCGATAATTATTTGTTGTAAATATATAGCGTAAGTTTGACGTAGTTCTGTTGTCAATTTGGTTTTCATCAATATTATAATATAACTTATTATATGTTTAAGTGTCGACAATTTTATATTATTCTATATTAAAAACATGAATCGAAATTAAGTCTGTTGATGATTTATTGAATTATTTTCGTTTTGTAGGTAGGGAACTATATTATTACAACTTAGATAAAAATATTTGTTTTTAAATGTATTAAGCAAGATAAAAAATAAAAGTCAGTAGGATGATTTGGGGGCTTCTGGAACCACCACCGCCACCGCCAAGAAAAATGGTGTATAGTTGGATTTACCAGGTTATTATTACCTTCCTCCTTATTAAGGGGAGGGGTTAAAAAGTTTCGAAACCCGATTAATGTAACTGGATAGCCTTTTAAGCTAGATAAAATAGCACTTACTTGTTCTATGGTGGACGAGTCGATGTGTCAATGGGCTAATCACCTACGATCATTGTAGAGATAGAGTGAAAGTGGAAATCATTTGACACAGACACCGTATTCAAAGCTAATGATGGACACTCCTCGCACTCGGACAAACGACACAAAACTTAAAAAAATGAATGGTAAACAATCGCACTTAATTCGTCACAATGAACTCCTGCCCTCTCATCGGTGTGCACGTACATGAACAAGAGCTCCTTGCGCTCGCACTAGTGTCCTATGGGTAAGAGCGCCAAGGGAGGGTGTGTGTCTCTGTTTTACACGGATGTAGAGCGGGATGAACCTTGGACCGGTCCTTTGAAAATTTGACTAATTCAATTCTTCAATAGTTTATTGATGGGATAGGCCTTTATCATTTGAATTGTGTTGTTTATGCGCTTATGGAAAAAACCGTTATTCGTTGGTTGTTTACACTGTTACAACTTATTTTTGACATACAACCGGATGATGTACATCATTACATCCACCTTGCAATTTTTTTTGTTGTGTCCTCACAACAACGCTCTTTGGCTAGAGTGAGGGTGATATAAATGCTTACAAACATTTTAAAACGGAAATCAAAAGTGGAGAGTTAATGGCAAAACACAATAATACTATTACTTACTACCGGGATTTTTTATTTTTACAATTATGAAAGGACATCATTAATGGCTTTATAGTGAATTATGGTTAGGTTATATGTTTAAATTTAAAAATAATTTATGTTTATATTTAAAATGTATACGCATATAGATAAACATGTTCATATTTTTTTAATTTGTCTATTTGACAACAGAGATGGTATTATTGTACAAGATTTCTTATACATTAATATACATAATATTATTTTGTACATAGATTGACATAGGTGGTACTGGATTCTCTAAGAAGATATGGTCAAGAAACATTTCAAGTAAAATATTACACTATTTTATCTAAAACTTTAGAGGAGTAGCTTTTCTAAGCTACCATAATGTAAATTATTAAGGATATATAAAGGCTATATTCTGTACATCCTTTCAATAATAACTATAAGTTGTATAACTTATTTAGTATCTATAAAAAAATCAATTAAATATAGCTAGCAATATTGAAATCTTCTTTGTTATGTATTTAGGATTTTAAATTAACCCTTATCAATTAATTTTAGTTCTTTTAGTTAGTCTAATTAATAAGCCCCTTATTCATTTTTCATTTTTTTTAACACCCAAAATTTTAATTTTAATTATATTATTGTTCTTATATTAATTGTTCCTATAGTAAGTAAATTATGTATTTGATTGCACAAACATCATATAGAGTTCAGGCATAAGGACTCCTATTTTTAATTTTTCAGTATTTAAATGTTTTAATTTTAACTCGAATTTTAAATTTACTTTTTTTATCATTACATTTTTAAATCCAGCAATAGTAAAATAATTAATTATTTTCTATCATTTAAATAATATTATGATATAGCCTAAATCAATTATAATTTATTCAATTTTTATTTAAATAATTAATAATCTAAATTATAATACCAATTTAATTTTTATTTCAATTAGATGTATGTTTATTTTAATAAGTAGATAAAATAATTTAACAATGTTGAACAAAAACAAGTTAACATTATTTTAGGACTGACTCGAAAGAAAAGAAAAACAATATGTAACAAACATAGCAACCTTACATATATTTTGAACATCATTTTTCAGCTAAACAAATATTTAAATTCCAAATGTAATATATTTTGATAGCAATACCAACATCCTACATGTTACAATAGAAAATAAAAATATACTGTAATATTATTACATGATAATTATGTATTTTACATTTTACTTAATATATAAAAATATATTACAACAGAAAAAAAAAATATATTAAAAACTTATATTTTTTTACTTAAATTAATTTCTCATCTTAAACAACTGGTAATTTCATACAAAAAGTTGCAAATTTACTTAGAATTTGTTATTTTTTAGTTTGATAACTATTTAAATAATTTAACTTTGTATAGATACCTTCCGAATAATTACTATTCTATACTATCATTCTTGAGTATATATTTAAATATTATTTATATTTAATATCTGAAAAAGATTCGATTGAACAAAATGTTTCATTTATTGGTATCTAGATTAGTCTTTTCTTATTTGGTGTTACTGACGTTGTTGGTGTTGATGATACTGCACATCCACTAAAATATAAATATCGGAATACTAATCTAATATGTGTTCATTTTAATTTAATGAGCTTACAATGACATAGTAATCTTAGAGCCAGAAAATATTAAAGGATCATCATCTAACTGTTCTTCGAGTTATTTTTGAATTTCCATATTTTTATAGAATCTAGTATAAAAACACGGTCAATAGGAACTAATGTAGATGCCGTTGGAGTTGAACTAAAATATAAATTGAATACAATTTTACCTTCTCTAGTATGTTATACTAATTTACTTTATTTATATAATATTTATAATATTTACCTAAAAATATTTAATGCCGAATGGTTTCTTTCCAAATGTTTTTTTTAATTTGTTGTGTTTCCACTCGTTTTAACATTTTCAAAACAAATTTTGCATCTCAATGTCATTAAATTAATTACATCAAAATTAGTTTTAACGTTTTTATATAAATTATTTTCCGACATATTTTCACACTTAAAGACATAAGTTACAATCACAGTGGACATGGACGGAATACAGAGAAATTATAATTATTTAATGAATAAACTTTATTTTTACAGTTGTCAGTGTATAAAGTACAAATATGTACATGTCTAATGGCATAGAGGATGTTCATAAATTCTCATTGTTGATTTGCCGTTTAGAAATAGGAAAACCAAAATATGTAATCTATTTTTATTTACATGGACCTGAATTAATTGAAATTTAAAAAAACCGGTATCAGTAGGGCTGAAATATCGATAAATATCGAAATGTATTGGGAAAGAAAATATCGATATTTTTTGCCCATCACTAATTATATACATTATATTATCTATATATATAAAAATCGATGTACATTTTAAATAAATTTTATAGCTCAAGATCCACCTAACCGATTTCGATAAAAATTTTAGGGCATATTAAGATTGATATTTAGATGGTTTCTGTGAAGTTTGTACGCTGTGTAATATGTGGTTCCGGAGTTATGGCCTCTTAAGTGTACAATATTAATCACGCACGCACGCACGATATTCAAAAATTATTGTTTTGCCATGGAGATATATATACACTCTAGGTGATTATTTTTTATTATTTGTTTCCGTGGCACGCGCGTCTATGGTAATATTTATTGGTTTGAGATTAAATGAGATTGATTTTTATTCAATTTGAATTGTATGGATTTAGGCGTTAAAAAATGCCACGACCAAGACGACAAAATATTGGCCGACGAGCACGTAATTATGTCGCCCAACAGTCTCATAGGAGATCTCAAAGTGAAGAGGCACATTTACAACGAAATGTTGTTCAACATTTACGAAATGAACATCGAACTACATCTGCAGGTCTGTCAGTAAATCCAGCATCAAGACGAACGTCACGAATTTCGCGTCGTGGACCAGCCATGGAATTTGCTGCATTTAATTACAGCAGTGAAATGGACTACAGTGAACATGGTCTTATTGGTGGAATGACGGTGAGATGTATACATTGTGCTGCAGCCAAATTTCCAGGTGAAACGGCTGGCATATGTTGTACTAATGGCAAAGTGAAATTGCCAGCATTCGAATCTCCACCTGATCCACTGCACTCATTGATTTTTGGAACATCACCAACGTCCAAGCATTTTTTGTCCCACATTCAAGAATATAATACTCCATTTCAAATGACTTCTTTTGGTGCGACAAAAGTTATAAGAGACAGTTTTATGCCAATGTTCAAGGTAATTATTTCATACGGAATATCTTTCGAAAAATGCAACCTGACCAGCAATTATTTTGATATTTTCACGAATTCTGATCCAATATCAAATTGTATTTCTCATATGTTACAGATTCAAGGGCAGATTTATCATAGAGCTGGTTCATTATTGTCATTACAAGTATGCGATTTGGATTTGGAGGAGCCGTGTTTTTCGCACGGGCAATTATACGTGGCCTGTTCAAGAGTTAGCACTCCATATTGTTTATTTGTGTATGCCCCAAATGGACAAACAAAGAATATTGTTTACACAAATGTGTTGGATTAATAATAAAGAATTTAGAAAAAATAAATGATTTTTATTGCATTTTTGTGTTGGTGCTGCGAAGCGCACAGGAGTCGGCTATTAGTTATTATAAAACTAATTTTAACTGTACAACCTACGTGCTATTATTTTCGTTTGAAAATTTACGTCGTTTATAGTATTTTATTCGTTTGTTGCTAGGGGATCGAAAAAAGAAAGAAGGTAAATAACAAGGCTGGGCATTAACGAGTTAAAAAGTTAAAGTTAAGTTAAAAAGTTAAGTTACTTTTAACTAAGTTATTTAACGAGTTACTTTTATTTTCAAAAGTAACTTCCAGCTTAACGAGTTTCTTTTTTTTTTAAACAACTTCTAACTTAACGAGTTAATTTATTAATTTGTCCTAATATAAATTTCATATATTTAAAATTATATTTTGATTTTTATAACTTATTGATATTATATATATAAAAATAATAATTGTGGGAATAACCAAATACTTTACGATATGAATGAGAGTGTTTTGCATTATTTCTATACTTGAAATTTCAATAGATATTAGAATAACGTGTATAAGTATAACTATCTACCTATATAAAATTTGGGAAACGATTTACGAGTAATATTAATAGTATTTGATAATAATATTTTATTTTATTCTGCTTATTCGCAGAAAATATGTATATATAATATATTATTATAAAACAAAAATGTTATAGGACCATAATAGGGGTAATCATTATTTTGAGAAAAGAAAAACATATTATTTAATTTCCTTGTATACAGAGATAATATACTCTTACTAATTTAATAGTTGTTTAATTTCACATAAATTACAAGTACATGGATAACTTGGCCTGCAGAGCAAATAATTCAATTTAAACCTAATGGTCTAATGTATTTAGGTTCTATAAATAAATGAACAAACTAGCCACACAGTAGGTCGATTATTATTAATATTATTTTATATTTATAAATTGGTAACGATTAATAGTCTACCTGTTAGTACCCGTTTATTATTATTTGTTCACAATATTTTGTTAGTATTGCTTCCTGTGACCTGTGGTGCCCATGGTTTAACGTGTGCTAATTTTATTATATTTTTTAATTATTTACTACGCGTTAATATAATTTGATTAATTTGAATACTCAGTTTTTTAAACAAATATTAAAATATGGATTTAAGTAACAACTTGGATAACAGTGATACAAATAGATCGAAATGGAGTCATTTAAAAAAATATTTTAAAGAAATGTCGCATAGTGAAGGCAATAGTAATAATAATAGTAACATTACATTTCAATGCCTGCTATGCATTCCGAAAACAAAAACGATCTCTACCTCAACAACTTCTAATTCAAATTTAAGAAGCCATATTAAAGTAAGTAGACATATTATTATTTATTAGTTAATAATTTACCTTCTAAAGAGTAAAGTACATATTCTAAATAGATAAAAATAAATTTTTTTTTATTATTTAACAATTGCAGCATATTCATCCTTGTCAGTTGTCTGAATTTAATATGTGTGGGAAAAAAAGGCTTAATATTGATAATAACCTTGTAACAAGCAAACAGTTAAAACTAGATGAAGTAGGAAAAATTACAAAAAAACTAAGCCAAACAGAATTTGACAAAGCCAATATCGAATTAATTGTGAGCACTGTACCACCCTTTTCTTTAATAGAGCATCCAGCGTTCATTAAATATTGTAAGCTGACATCCAATAAAATTCCAGCATCCCGAAGAAATTTTATGCGAAAAATTATAACGGAATATAATGATATGATTGTATTTCTGAAAGAAGAACTGTCCAAAATTAATTATGTGTGCATCACTGCAGATTGTTGGTCCATATTTCGCAAGTAAGTTAAATATTATTTTATGTTGTATTACAAAGGTGTGCCAAAACATTAAAATACACATTTATAATATACCGGGTATTCACCAATTTAGGGAACACTGAATTTCTCGGCTGGATTATGTTAGAATAAATCGAATTTGTTTGCGAGCTAGTGGTATATAAATACACATTTTCAGATAAATTTCAAATTTTATCATAATATTATAATAATTATTATAAACTGTATTATTTTAATTGTATAAATAATAATTGCATATATTAATATATTATAATCTATTGTTATTTTTTAAAAGGTCTTACATGGGGTTCACAGTACACTGGTTGAACCCAACAAAATTAGAGCGTGTATCAAAAGGACTTGCATGTAGGAGAATGTATGGAAAACACACTTACGAAAATTTAGCTGAAATGATTGACAAAGTATTATCAGAGTTCAATATTCAGAATAAGACAACTCTCATTGTGACTGATAATGCAGCAAACTTTTTCAAAGCTTTCAGGTGTTTATTTATTATATTTTATTAATGACTAGCAATGCAAGCTAAATATTCCTACACATTGCAATCTGCAATAATATTAATTTTAAAACCAGCCTATTTAGTAAAAACATTTTGTCAAAACTGTGAGGAGTATTAATGTAAAGTATTCAAATTTCAAATTTTAGGACTTTTTTTTTTTTAATTTTATATCAGTATTATATTATATTCTTTACACAATTAATAGAATCTAACTACAATATTGAATATCATTATTCATTATTATATGTTTGAACTTGTAGAGTCTATAATATAAAAGAATTGGATGAAAATGCTGCCATACAACCTTTCACTAATAGTAATAATCATAATAAAAGTAAGTTCACCATTATTTTACAATTTTTTAGTTTTATACATAACTACATAAGTATTATATATTTTTTTTAAATCAAGACGCAGAAGAAGAAATAGAAGATGAAGAAGAAGAAGAAGACTTATTGAGACCAATTAATACATCAAATGTACTTGAAAATGGAGTGGGTGATTTGTTTAATATGACATTACCTCAACATCAGAGGTGTGCTGCGCATACCTTGAATCTGATAAAAACTACAGACATACAAGATGCTGAAAAAGATAATGTCTACAAAATATTAAGTAGACGTGTGTTTGGAAAATGTCAAGCTTTGTTTAACAAACAGAACCAATCATCACAATATGCTGATCAGATAAAAAATGTAATAGGCAAATATTTAATTACTTCAAATGCTACTAGGTAATTAATGTAAATTTATATATGTGTATCCTTATGTATATTTAGCAATTTTGATAACTAATATTAGATCTATACAATTTATTAAATTTTATATAATTTTCAATTCTAAATTATGTTATAGATGGAATTCATATTATGATGCCATTAAATGTATTGTAGATAATTTGAACAAAATAGATGAAGTATTTTCCATAACATCATTGTCATCATTATCTAGACCACGTGAGACTACATTTTCAATTGAGTATTGCAAAGTATATAAGATATTTATAACTCTAAATTTATTTTGTTTCAAATATGTATAGATGTGTAGTAAAATACAATGGAACCTTGATAACTCGAATTGGTTAGGAGTGAAAAAAATTCGAGTTATCGACAATTTTACTTAAAGAGGTACGAGTTATAGAGGTTTCACTGTAGTTTATATATCTAGTATTAAAAATTATACCATATTAGTATATTACCATGTATAAAAATGTTTAGGTTATGCAGCCAATCGCAAAGGGTTTAGACATATTACAAGGAGACAATCATGTGTGTCTTGGGTATTTACTTCCAACATTGACTGCCATTAATAAATCATTAAAAAGTATGACTAATTTAAATTACTGTATGCCGCTAGTAAATGCTTTTAATAAAGGAATAGAAAAAAGGTATTTAATATTATTTAAAACTATTTGGACAAATTAAACATTATTATGTTTTGTGTTATAGGTTTCAAAGGTACATGATTTCTAGTCAATGTCAGATATCATCTGCTTTAGTTCCTAAGTTTAAGTTAAACTGGGCTAGCTTAGAAAAAAAACCAGAATTAAAGAAAAGTTGGTTGAAGCTTTAAGAGCTAGTTGTGAAGATACAGATAGCATAAGTTTCTCTTCGCAATCTTTGAGTCAAAATGATTTGTCACATCAAAATGCAACTGACACGGAGGATGATAATTTTTTGCTTTTTGAAGATGACCTGCATGAATCTCAGAATATTAATGATTCACAAAAAATAGTATCTGATTATTTATTAAACCCTAACATAAAATCTCCAAATGATTTCCCAGCATCATTAAAATCATTATACATTGAGTACAATACTGCAGTACCGTCATCGGCTCACGTTGAACGCCTATTTAGTGCGGGTGGACAGCTTTATAGTAGGAGAAGGGGTTCTATGTCTGATAAGAACTTTGAAATGGCATTATTGTTAAAGTTCAATAAATATTTTATTGAATAATGATAATTATTAATTAACATTATAAATTTATTTGTATCCAATATATATGTGTAATTTATTTAATTAAATCCTATTAACAAATTTAATAATTACAATTTACAAATTTAATGGGTATTAACAAGAAAAAAAATTTTTAAGTTAAGCCATCATTTTAGAAAACATGTAGGTAAAATAATACATTGAAATAATTTATTTGTTTTGTTAGATTTTATAATTGATTGAAGTATGTAAGTAGTACTTACTAAGTACCTACTGTAATTAATACAATTACATATGTTTATTGAAAATAGTTAGACTTCCATTATATTGTGTTATTTGTTAAGCTTTGATAAAAATGTATGATAATATATTGTACATAAAAAAAGAAAATTAACTTATTTTTAACTAAGTTAAGTTACTTTTTTTTCAAATTAACTTTTAACTTTTAACGAATTAAATAAATAAAAAAACTAACTTTTAACTTTAAACTTAACTTACATCTTTCTGTATTAACTTAACTTAACGAGTTAAAATAATTAGTTAACTTGCCCAGCCTTGGTAAATAATAAACATCTGATTTAAGAATTGCATTTAGAGAAAGCAATAACTGCACACGGGCGAATTCTATATATGGGCTACGAAGTGCACGGGTTCAGCTAGTATTATATATATATATTATAATTCACACTGTCATCTGTGTTTCAGTGACTTTAACGCACGCTAGAAACATTATTCAGTTTTCTTCCACTTCTCATTGACTGTTTTTGGTGGATTTTTTAGAAACTTTAGAAACTTTAACGCTGGTTACTTTATAATAATAATCTCCTTCTCCTATAGTGTACAAGTGTCTCTTTTTTTGTTGATGATGTGACTTCGCCAAAAGTACCCGACGCCAGGGCTTATTCTAAGGATTTTTATCTACTGCCCATACACACTGAAAAGTTAGTTTTATGAAATTTATTTGGATTATATTATTTACCCTCTCCCCAAATAAATTGCATATTGATATTTTAAAATTTTGATCATTACGTGGTAAAATATTTAAAAAAATACGAATATTTTCCGTTATACGTATACCACTATTTAAATATAAATTTCATAGATTAATCAATAATCAAAGTAGCAAAGATTGTAAACTTAAATAATTATTACTTATTATAATAACCTATATGTACCTATAGGTACTAGGTTGGGTTTATAAATTACACAAATTTCAAATACTCAGTAGAAATTCAATCATTCTGTAAGGAAAATTATATTTTTGTAAGGTACCTATACTCATAAAGTCAATTGCCCTTTTAATTTTTCCTACTACTCAATTTGGGTCGTACTGCCCGTTTGAATAAGACGTACCCAACGTTAGTTCAAAAACTGGCACTACACGTACTAAAAGGTTCTCAAGTTCTACTTCTAACGAGGATTTGATGAATATTATTCTGTTTTTCAAATCTGAAATCTTTGCTTTTAATAAAGAATTTTCTAGCTCACATTCATTCTAATTTAAAAGTTTTAAAGCAGAAATAATTAAAATCTCCAATTAGATGAGTGATCTTAAAAAAGAAAATGCAATATTAAAAGAGGAAATTGGAACGTTAAGGTGGTTCCAGTCGGTAATTTCCTAAAGAGTTTTGTATAGGCTACCCATCAATTCCGATAATATTTGAGTTGAATGTATGCGAAGTAAATGAATATTGGTGTGTGTGTGTTCGTTTATACAGATGCGACCCGCCTGCATTACCAAAATAACCGATTACACTACTGTCCCCTGCGTCAACCCGCTGACCAGTGGTGGCGTTACGGCAGATTTTTGAGTCCCTGGATTCAAGTCAGTGGGTGTTGACCATTGGGTATCGAATGGGTATGTAGCATGTAGAACGAATTGTGGGGGAGCTCTTTTTACAAGCTACCCTTAAATTTCTTTTTAAGTGGGTGGGTGGGTGGGTGGGCAAAATCCTAAGAGGACTCATGAAGTAAAATATTTCACGCCTCCACTGCCGCTGACCGTATATTTATCAGTAATCATTAATGACTTATCCACACACAACGCTATTTTAATTTTCTAATAAATTTACTATATATTTCTTATAGATATTATTATTATTATTATTATTATTAATTACCAGGGCTTGGAAGTTATAACACTAAAAAAATTAATTTTTAGCGCTTAAATATGCACATAAAAACATTAATATAAGCGCTATAAACAGCACTAAAAATTGGAAAATATGCAAAATTAAATTTCATTAACAAAAATGTTTTATTTAAAATTTTTTTAAATTATACAAGTTTTTTTTATAAAATATGAACAGTAAATATTTGAGAAGTAGGCACTTTTCCGGCTCTGGAAGATTTTCTGTTAACATAAACATATAAAAAAATTTATTTATAAATGAATAATATAGTGTATTAATTTTATTTACCTTAAGAATTGCACTGAATAATAAGAAGTTTTCTTATATTTTCAAATTTGAATGATCTACGATTATTTGATAGTAGAGTTTTGTATGCCGAGAATAACCACTCTACATCGACAAACGTCACGGGTACGTACTTAAAAAATGTTAAGTCGTTACAATTTAAGTCTTCGGGAAGACCATCTAAATTTCGGAATGTCTCTTCACCCGTTAGAACTTGTGATATTATTACCAACGCCAAGAGACCAAGATTTTTTTCCTGTACCTGATTAAATTTATTTTGAACAGATTTTCCATTTGGATCACTTAATGTTTCAAATGATTTTTGAATATCTTGAACTATTTTTAGTAAATCCGATAAAAGCATATGTTGCCGTTGTAATTGTTCAATAGCTAAAGTTAATTTGGCAAAGTTCGACTTAATATACGTTAAGTTGTTTTCCAATCCAGGTTTTATGATGTTATCTTGAGCATCTTTAATACTAACTGCATCGTTTCTGTCTAGCATAAAAATAACACGATGGATTATCTCGAAATTCTCACAATAATAAATTGCTGCATTAATCCAACTTCCCTAACGTGTGATAATTGGCTCCGGAGGTAAGGGTAAGTTTGGCACTTTCGATTTAAATACAAGTAAACGACTTGGGGCTTTTCTAAAGATTTTTTTTACACTTGAAATAACTTTATCTACTATGTGAAATTGATTTCAAACTTCATCTGCGACTCTGTGCAGTCCATGCACAACACATGTTACATGAATCATTTTTGAGTAAAAGCTTTTTATTATTTCTCCTGATTTAACCATGTAGGGTGCGGCATCGGATAAAAATAAAAGTATATTGTTATGTTGGATACAAGCCGGCCATAATATGCTCATTGATCTATTAAAATGTTTGCTGATTGTGGAGTGGTTAGCTTTTTTTATTTCCTCCGTAAAAACATATTGCCTGCATTATTTTCCTCAAGAGTGCCTACTATTACATTTGCAATGTAACGACCCTGTACATCAGTGGTCTCGTCGATACTGACCCAAATTTTTTGTCAGAAATTATTTTCCTAATTTTATCCATGGTCTCATTGTAAATATCATCCACATATCCTTTTCGCAACGTTGATTCACTCGGAATATCATTTTTTTATATACTTCCAAAAATGTTTTGAATTTTGATTTTTCTAACATGTTCAAAGGAATGTTAGCAGAAATAAAAGCCTCACACAAATCTTTGTTAAATGACGATTTTTTACTAATATTACTTGTCGCTATCAATAACTGCTGTTGTTTCCGATTTATTTGATTTTCATATCGGGCAAGGCCTTTGATATGTTTGTCACTTTTTATATGTTGTGATACGTTAAACTTTTTGTCAGAATTAACTTTGACTTCACAAATTTTATAAAATAATACACTTTTATCAATTAAAAAAATATTAGGACCATATAAATTAACAAAGGTTTGGAGCCGATTTGACAAATTTTGTTTCACTTTAGGTATTTTTAAACATAATAAATACGATAGTTCACATATTCGTAGGCGGCTGTTTGGTAGGTAATTTAGTTTTTCAAAAATATGTGTTTATTTCCTTAAATATGTCCATTAACAGCATTTATAACTCCAAATTAGCAAAATACCTCCCCTATAATATGTATTTATGTGAAAATATACCCAAAAATAACACTAAAAACCTAAAATGAGCAAAATAGCAGTAAAAACTGTAAATATGCAAAAAATAGCAAAATAAAATTTCGTGTATGACATCAGAGAAGTGTGAAACACATTTGTATCTTACTTTGGATGTTCTAGGACGAATCAATAAAAATATGCATTTGCTAGAACTTCCGAGCCCTGTTTATTACGTACACATTATTTACGTCGATCGAAAAGATTGGAAATTAATGCACAAATTGTTCAATTCACCATTCGGATACAAAATTTATATTAACAACATGCATTTTATTAATTTTTAAAAATACATCATAAATAAAATATCTAATTGTTTATACTTATATTTACATTTATTAATTAGTATATAAGTATATTATTTATTATAATTATAAAACAGCGATTCCCAAACTGTGCACCGCGGTACCCTAGGGGCACCACGACCATTTTCTAAGGGCACCTGGTCTACGTACGGTTCATAACAAATATTTTAAAACATATAAAATTGTTTTTCCTTACGGTTTTCGTAAAAACTTTATAGCAAATAATGTAATATTTTCTATTGTATGTTCGGATATTCTCATTTTAACCTTATAATTATTTTATATAATAATTATAATCATAATAACAATAATTTTTATTTATTTATTTATTTATTTTTTAAGCTAGAGAATTGTACAATCTGTAAAATTACGGTTTACAATAAGCACAAGTGATAAGGGAGTTAGTATAGAAAAGACAAATAGTGGGTAAATTAACAGACAAGTCGAATAATTACTACTATTTACATCGATTCAGACAAGGGGCTTGAGTGAAGAGATCATCCATTGATGGGACTTCATGACATGTTGTGGTGGGGGTTAGTCTAAAAGTAGATCACGACACCATATTCGTTTTAAACGCCTTCTGGGGTCACCAGGAATAGTGAGAGAAGATAGTTTCGA